CTAGCTTCTTCTCTGTAACATATCAGATCAAATACTGCCTATATGTTGTCCAGCATTTAATGACAAAACACAAAGTCTCTTGTTGTTTGAGTTCACCGTTGTATACTTGCCTATATGTTGTTCAGCATACAAAACACAAAGTCTCTTGTTGTTTGAGTTCACTGTTGTAAACCCTTGCCTATATGTTGTTCAGCATTTAATGACAAAACACAAAGTCTCTTGTTGTTTGAGTTCACTGTTGTAAACCCTTGCCTATATGTTGTTTAGCATTTAATGACAAAACACAAAGTCTCTTGTTGTTGGAGTTCACCGTTGTACTTGCCTATATGTTGTTCAGCATTTAATGACAAAACACAAAGTCTCTTGTTGTTTGAGTTTACCGTTGTATACCCTTGCCTATATGTTGTTCAGCATTTAATGACAAAACACAAAGTCTCTTGTTGTTTGAGTTTACCGTTGTATACCCTTGCCTATATGTTGTTCAGCATTTATTGACAAAACACAAAGTCTCTTGTTGTTTGAGTTTACCGTTGTATACCCTTGCCTCTATGTTGTTCAGCATTTATTGACAAAACACAGAGTCTCTTGTTGTTTGAGTTTACCGTTGTAAACCCTTGCCTATATGTTGTTCAGCATTTATTGACAAAACACAAAGTCTCTTGTTGTTTGAGTTCACCGTTGTACTTGCCTCTATGTTGTTCAGCATTTAATGACAAAACACAAAGTCTCTTGTTGTTTGAGTTTACCGTTGTAAACCCTTGTCTATATCTGTTGTCCAGCATTAAATGACAAAACACAATTTCTCTTCTTGTTTGAATTTACCGTTTCATCAAATTACCTATTAAACACAACAAGCACGTGCTTCGGGCACAATAGAAATTTTCAATAGCCTTGGAGCGAAACGTTTATTTCATCAGCTGAAGCATAGTAGACAAAATCCATTTAGCCAAGCTATGGGTACTAATACATGAATGCAGAACCTCAGCTTTCCACTTCACCAGTAAGGGAGGGACACATTCACTTCTCTATGAACGCAGATTTCAGACTATTATATCTAACTCTGTTGTAGGCATCCTCAAGATAGGTTTGAGTTTTTAAACAACGGATCAATTTCATGGCGCACGGGTAGTAACCAATAAGTGCTCCCTTCTTCTTTTACCTCAAGTCTGAGTCAAAAGAAGCTCAGCACAGTGCACATGCTCTGTAGCACCGGCGAGGATCCTGAAATACTTTAGGTAGATTTTTAACTCCAAATTTTGCCTAGGCAGCGCCGTTAGGCTACTCTTTTCCATTTCGAACTGCCAAATGATTTTTTTTACGTGTGCAACAATGCATACGGGCGTTTGATCTCACTACCCAGAAACCTGGGGAATTACTAGAACTCCAAATTCACGTGAACAAAAAAGTCCCAGCCCTTAACGGGGATTGAACCCAAAACCTCTAGCACTCGAGGCGGACACCATTCCTGGAGACCATGCAGCCCTCCTCAAGATCAAGTGCTGTCACGAACAACCAACCGGCCACCCAGTTGCGAATCAGCCAGATAACTGACAAATCAACCTCCTTTTTAAGTTAGAGAAACACACACACACACACCACCACACGCATGCACGCACACACGCACACACACACACAGTCAACATATACACCAATTCACCGATCAATCAACCAACCCAAAAAAAAATATATATATATATCAGCCTGGCAACACCCAACTCAACCAGTTTAATTAAACAACCACCCAACAAATTATCAAATTAACCAACACAATAATCAACAAATTAATTATTAAGCATATCGAACATATATTACCAAATCAACCAACCTAGACATCAAGGAACCTAAACACAACTCAGCCAATAAACCAACTAACAAATCAGTTAATTAGACAACACACTAATCAACCAACAAATGAACCAACCAAGCGACGCATCAATTAACAAAACAACTGAACCTACCAACCGACACACCAGTCAACCAACGAATTAACCTACCAAGCGACACATCAATCAACCAAAACAACAAATTAATTAACCAATCAACAAAGTAACCTACCTACCAACACACTAATCAACCAACTGAATGTTGCATGTTGAATTTGGAATCGACATCACAGCACTCTGGACACTCCCATAAGCGCTTTGTCCCCATCTTAAGCAGCAAGCGCAGAGTTCCAACTCAGATGGCACCACCAACATCCGTCTCGCCTCTCCCTTGAGTGTTAGGCGTCGGCAGAACCACTTGTCACTCCCCGCAGCGCCATTCTCCTCAGACTGTAATGATCTATTTGTGCCTCAGCACTGTTCACTCGCTTCCCATGGACCCTTAAAAGATCTGGCTTGTCATACATTAATATACCTCTAGGCTTTGCAGAAGCAGCGAGTCTGTCTGCCTGTTCGTTTCCCAACACACAGTTTTATCTGGAGAAAATATCACTAACTACTCAGGACTTCTGAAGCGATACTAGCCACACACTTACGACAACTACACATACGAGGCTTTTGCGGAGATCTGCCTAACATTTACTTTAATACTGACAGACCTGTTGGAATACCACACGTGCTGGAACGTGTTCTCCCCGAGGTTTCCGTACCTCAAAACAAAAACAAAACAAAAACCAAACCCCCCAAAAAAGGGATGGGGGGGGGGTGAGACCCCGGTGCCCCCACGCCCCTAAACAAATTGTTTGATGGCTAAATACGTTTTCTTCTTCACTTTAACCTTTTACCGCTTTATGTGTCTCTTCTTTTTCTTCTTCTTCTCTCTACTGCTGGAATACCTCGAGGTGTTAGGGCAAGAAGAGATCTCTTGAAAGGGCCCTTCTGTTCTCTACTTCTGGAATACCTCGGTGTGTTAGGGCAGGCTGGAATACCTCGGGGTGTTAGGGCAGGCTGGAATACTCGGGGTGTTAGGGCAGGCTGGAATACCTCGGGGTGTTAGAGCAGGCTGGAATACCTCGGGGTGTTAGGGCAGGCTGGAATAACTCGGGGTGTTAGAGCAGGCTGGAATACCTCGGGGTGTTAGGACAGGCTGGAATACCTCGAGGTGTTAGGGCAGGCTGGAATACCTCGAGGTGTTAGGGCAGGCTGGAATACCTCAAGGTGTTAGGGCAGGAAGAGATCTCTGGAACAGGCCCTTCTGTTCTCTACTGCTGGAATACCTCGAGGTGTTAAGGCAGGCTGGAATACCTCGGGGTGTTAGGGCAGGCTGGAATACCTCGGGGTGTTAGGGCAGGCTGGAATACCTCAAGGTGTTAGGGCAGGCTGGAATACCTCGAGGTGTTAGGGCAGGCTGGAATACCTCGGGGTGTTAGGGCAGGCTGGAATACCTCGGGGTGTTAGGGCAGGAAGAGATCTCTGGAACGGGCCCTTCTGTTCCCTACTGCTGGAATACCTCGAGGTGTTAAGGCAGGCTGGAATACCTCGGGGTGTTAGGGCAGGCTGGAATACCTCGGGGTGTTAGGGCAGGCTGGAATACCTCAAGGTGTTAGGGCAGGCTGGAATACCTCCAGGTGTTAGGGCAGGCTGGAATACCTCGGGGTTTTAGGGCAGGCTGGAATACCTCGGGGTGTTAGGACAGGCTGGAATACCTCGCGGTGTTAGGACAGGCTGTAATACCTCGAGGTGTTAGGGCAGGCTGGAATACCTCGGGGTGTTAGGGCAGGCTGGAATACCTCGGGGTGTTAGGGCAGGCTGGAATACCTCGGGGTGTTAGGGCAGGCTGGAATACCTCGGGGTGTTAGGGCAGGAAGAGATCTCTTGAACGGGCCCGTCTATGTGCTTCGTTTAAAGTATTTTTTAATGTCTCTCCGACACTGAAGAAAAAAACAAAAAGAAACAATGATTAGTCGCCTTATAAGATATGCTTGCTTGGAAGGGGGGGGGAAGGTCTATATTTTTTGTATTTTAAATGAAGACTCTAAACTCATTTCAGGTAATGAAATGTATAGTTCAGTGTGTTTATATGAGTTGACTTAGAAACCTTTGTCATATAAATGAAAAATTTACATAAGCGCTTTGTCCTGGTCTTTAGCGACCAGCGCAGCGTTCTAATGCCACTGTAGCATTCGCAGTCAGGCTGTATTACCCCCCCCCCCCCCCCCCCCTTCCTTTGCCTTTCCTCTGCATATTTTTCAATATATCTGCTCTTTTCTTCTTCTTCTTCTTCTTCTTCTTCTTCTTCTTCTTCTTCTTCTTCTTCTTCTTCTTCTTCTTCTTCTTCTGCTTCTGCTTCTGCTTCTGCTTCTGCTTCTGCTTCTGCTTCTGCTTCTGCTTCTTCTTTTTCTTCTTCTTCTTCTTCTTCTTCTTCTTCTTCTTCTTCTTCTTCTTCTTCTTCTTCTTCTTCTTCTTCTTCTTCTTTTCTTCTTCTTCTTCTTCTTCTTCTTCTTCTTCTTCTTCTTCTTCTTCTTCTTCTTCTTCTTCTTCTTCTTCTTCTTCTTCTTCTTCTTCTTCTTCTTCTTCTTCTTCTTCTTCTTCTTCTTCTTCTTCTTCTTCTTCTTCTTCTTCTTCTTCTTCTTCTCTTCTTCTTCTTCTTCTTCTTCTTCTTCTTCTTCTTCTTCTTCTTCTTCTTCTTCTTCTTCTTCTTCTTCTTCTTCTTCTTCTTCTTCTTCTCTTCTTCTTCTTCTTCTTCTTCTTCTTCTTCTTCTTCTTCTTCTTCTTCGTCTTCTTCTTTAGCATTCCGAGCCCTTGGGGTTCATTGCTGCAGATATCACCTGTCTCCACTCATCTCTCTGAGTGTTTGCAGGTCTCTCTGGACGTTATCTCTATATCGTCTTGTTGGTCTGCCTCGTGGTCTACGACCATTCATCACCCTGGTATATACAGTTTTTACTTCTCTGTCATGTGATATTTTCTTAATATGGCCCAACCATTTCAGTCTACTAGCTTTCACGATGCCGGTGATCAATGGTGATTTAAACAGGTCATTGTTGCTCCTCACTCTTCATTTTCGTTCTGTCTGCATGGTTGATGGGTAATATTTCTGCTGTAAAGAAATTAATTTCAACCACTAGAGAATATTTTGGGGAATAGTTTATACTTCTTCAAAACGCGAGGATACAACTGACTCTTGAATCTCAACATTGTGGTATCCATTATACCCCCTTTCATTGTTGGTTTTCTGTAGTGATGCACCAGTGCTATACTGTGAGAGACTACGCTGCATCTCATGAAGTAAGTAAATGTGTGTACGAAATGAATCCCACAAGTGTGTGTGAGCTCTGGTCGTGCAATATATTTGGATTTGACCTTCGCTCGATAAATTTCTGAAGATCTCAATAACTGGTGAAGAACCAAAATGTTGTATTTTATAGTGTTGTTCTTTTCTTCCTTCGAGAATGGGAACTCAGGAGGAAATGAGGTCCAGTTTGTTTCGGAAGAAGTGGAAAAGAAACTTGACCTAACGATAAAGCAGCCAGTTTTGGCACTGGCTTTTTTGGGCGGATTTGGAGAATGTACAAATGTGGACACGTCATATTCTTGAGGCGAAGTGGCGGCAATCATCTCCATCCAGTTGGAGTGGTTTTTTGGCATCACGAATTCGTCTGTGTCTACCACAACGACAAATCTGGAGATGTTGCGGTTTCTGTAGACACAGTCGTTTAAAGCGGACATTTGTCCGTAATACCAGCTTTGTTTTGTTGGAAGAGGCCATGGGAGAACAGTGACCAGACCATCCTGCTGGTAGCGCTGGAGAATCTGGTCAACAGCCGGGGAGATGCTGTAGTTGTACACCACGAAGTGCTCGGCGCCAAGTATCTGGTTCATTTCTAGAGACTGGATGAGCTGCGACGTCGACTTGTAGCCGCTGTGTAGAACGGAGTAGCAGACGGTGAAGTTTCTGATGAGAGTTCCTGGGTAGATGATCTGGAGTCGATTGGTTGCTGTTTTGTTTCCTTGAAAGCTGACGGAAACATGAGTGGGTCGTTTGTTTACTGGCAGACTGCACTGCATGGAAACTGGAGGACAACTGAAATATAGAAGTATCTTTGTTAACCGAGACTACATCTTGTTCTTCTGCCGTCATCTTTCCTCTCTGATACTTTTTATAATTCTGAATTCAAAGTTTTGACATTTTTAATGTCACTGATACGAATACATGACCAAAAATTATTACTGTCTCTTTCTGATGTTTGTCATACGTTATCTTTAAATCCTCAAATATTTGAAAACATCTAGCGTGAGTATTCCCCCCCCCAGCCTTATGCTAAAAGAGGCTCTCTACATGATGAGAGAATTCTTTTTGTAACCTCCAGGGAGAAAGAATACAGATTCTTTAAAGCGAATCAAGTCACTCTTGTCTTATGAACAAACAGAATAATTATTTCATACAGTATTTTTACCAACACTGAGTTGCTAGTGCCAAATGTGGATATAAACAACAAAAGAAAGAGAAACATAGAAAAAACATAGATAACATGTCTAGGACGATTTTTAAATGCAAAAATACGAGAGGGGGGGGGGGGGGGGGGGGGGGTTAGCGGGGGGGGGGGGGGGTTAGCGGGGGGAGGGGTTAGGGGGGGGGGGGGTTAATGACTTTATCAAGAAAGTAGTGCTTTCGACACCAGTGCTGATCTATTTGATAAGACGACAGATGAAATGGTTCGGACACATGCCAGGTCTAATACGAGACAGTGCGCCATAGAGAGCCCTATAACCTTAAAGCTAGAGGTCACCCAGTCAAGATATGGATAGTTGAAATATCGGGAACCGAAAACATCATCATAGTTCGCGCCATATGTCTATTGAAAACCTGATACTGAAAAGCAGAATAGGGACTATTGAAAGGAAGAAAAAGTAGTAGCAGCGGCAGCAGCAGAAGAAGAAGAAGAAGAAGCAGAAGAAGAAGAAGAAGAAGAAGAAGAAGAAGAAGAAGAAGAAGAAGAAGAAGAAGAAGAAGAACAAGAACAACAACAACAAGAACAAGAACAAGAAGAACAAGAAGAAGAAGAAAAGGAAGAAGTAGAAGAAAAAGAGGAGGAGGAGGAAGGAAATGAATTCATAATAATGATAGTTAAAAAAATAATATATTTATTATCATTATCATCATCATCTTCATCGCTATCATCAACAGGCGTGTCTAAGTTATTATTGCCCCCACCTCGAACATTCAGAACGACACGACGACTCACCTGACGCTGTGCGAATCAGGAAACTCGGAGACCGACCCTTTTGTGACCAGGTTCCCTTCCACTGTACTAAAATTGCAAAAAATAGTTTGCAACTGATCCCTCTGAATGATGCCGAAGATTCGAACCGACGGCCTTCCTTGCTGCTCGGCCACGTAGTCGAAAAAAGCAGAGTACAGCCATGCATTCTTGTCGTCGATTTTCTGGAAGATCTCATTAGTCTCCACCGGGTCGAAGGGTTTTCTAAGATGATTAAAAACAGAGTCACTAAGAATGCTGTAATTTTAAACTTTGTAACAGATCGGATTTTAAAGCTTAGGCGTTGCGAACGAGCTTCGTAATGCCGGTGTGTTGTGTTCGATCGCAGCTTTAGATCTCGGTATCGAGAAGCCGACCATCCAGAAAGCAATGATTGCTGTTGTAGGTGTTCATGCTTCTCCACAATCGTCGATCTACAGCAGGATGAATTATTATCTGTGCTGACACTCCTACATACACAGGTCTTTCTCCTGGTCACACCGTGTCTCAGTTTCTCTTTTCTCATAACATGACTAAAAATTATTACTGGACGAAAATGTGCCTAGAAAAACAACAGCAGCCAAAAAAAATGATGGTGTTGGTTCTGCAACGTCATGTAAAGGATATGTATCTAACTTTTTATAAGGATGCATTTAATGAATATACACGTGAGGCGTGGTAAATTGTTTAGTTTCCTGTGACCTTTTGTTACCTTAAGGCTTAAAACGCGATGAGAAAATATGGAACATCAAAACACTTTAAAGAAGGGATCCATTGGTATGGCATATAGCCAGGGACTGGTGGCTTTTCCGTGTACCGTGAATAGAGCGCTGTCATCCCAATGATCTGCAACAATATGATCATCATCGAATAGCATGTCCTTTGCAGAAAGTCGCTCTTGTCCTGGCATGTCTGAAAGTCTGTCTCTCACTCTCTCGCTCTCTCTCTCTCTCTTCCTCTATCTCTCCTCTCTCTCTCTGTCTCTCCCTCTCTGACCTGTAGGAAAGACATTTTGGCCTAATCAGAGTGGAAATCACTTCACAATTGCATATTTTAAGGAGATCGTCGTTGGAGGTACGGTTTTCGTGCTTTATGCTAGTGTTCTTCAACACGTTTTACACCTGCAGCCTACCAAAATCAGTACAAATTGTGATGCGGCCCAGCTGACCAATAGCTAACCAAACATAAAACACAAACAAACGGAGATGGCAGCGGATTTGTTACATCCGATCCCACAAAACAAACACCTACCCTACCTACCACTGTACATGATAAGGCTTTCTGATCCCATGAACATACTTAGAGAGTAGTTGAGTTGAGTTAATTTCAGAACCGACATCACAGTACTAGGGGCATTCCCATAAGTGCTCCGTCTCCATCCTCAGCAGCCAGTGAAGAGTTCCGATACTTATGGTGCCAGTAGCATTCTGATTAAACGTCAGTATTGTCTTTCATCTGAGCCCCGAGCATCTGCCAGAACCTCTCGTCACTCCCTGCTGCATCAATCTCACCAGACTGTGGTGATCCATCTGCTACTCCGAACTGAATAGTTAGGAAGGACAGGATAGATTCGAAGGAAATGGTTGAAGTTGCTGGCGAAATCTCGTCTGATAGGAATACGTTTTTTTGTTTGTGCCCAGACACTCTGGGGTAAAAGTGGAATGAACGAGCGGATTGGCTTGCTGGCAGGTCCACTGTACGTATAGGAAAAACCGACATACTTAAACCTCTCTAGGAGGCGGGACGAGAAGATGATCCAGGAGACGACGTTGAATCGACAAACACACAAAAGACTACAGGAACTTCAGGTCGAAAGAAGTGGTGCCAAACTGAACTGAACTGAATTTCTACCCCACCAGGATATCACACAAGCGATAAACACCCGATGACACAAAGTGCCACCATGTGGATGAGGATCGCCGTGGAGAGGTCCCAGAAACCGCGTTCAGACATTTGGCCATATATATGGCCTGCCTATATTGCGGCCCCTGGCAAAAGCCAGAGTAGGGCTTCAAATGACAAAAAATTTCGTCCTAAAATGGACAAAATTGGATATAATTAACACACACAAAAAAAAAAAAAACGGGTTAAGTAATTGGTGCCAAACATGAACACTTTACAGGTAGCCAAAGAGGAATAGTAAACTAAAACAAAACTGATGTTTTAGGTCAAAATGCTAATAGACTTGTCCGATTTACATTGAGGATAATCTGTCGATTAACTAACTAATTAAATAACAAATAGGCAGAATTTATTTTGCGGACCATCTGGGCTTAACCGCCGCCTAGCAGTGGACCACAACCCACAGCTGAACAACAGTGCTTTATTCAACGCTCCCAGCGGTTAATGCGGTGGCAGGCGGAAAGTTATTCTGTTTAAAGATACCGAGACAGGGGATACAACCCACTGCAATGACGTCCATGTCAAACAAGTGGGTGTGAGTTATGGACTCTTAGTCACCGAAGAAGAAGAAGAAGAAGAAGAAGAAGAAGAAGAAGCAGAAGAAGAAGAAGAAGAAGAAGAAGAAGAAGAAGAAGAAGAAGAAGAAGAAGAAGAAGAAGAAGAAGAAGAAGAAGAAGAAGAAGAAGAAAACGGAGAAGCAGAAGAAGAAGAAGAAGAAGAAGAAGAAGAAGAAGAAGAAGAAGAAGAAGAAGAAGAAGAAGAAGAAGAAGAAGAAAAAGGAGAAGAAGAAAAAGAAGAAGAAGAAGAATCGGAACTTTCTAACCGAAGTGCTACAGCAAAACTCTTAGAATGCCGTGAACCAAGAATAAAAAGCAGAAAAAGAAGAAAAAGAAACATCATCGACATCCTACATGACCTGAACATAGAGCAGACTTGGGCCACAAACAGCATCCTGTCACGAAAGCTGAACATCGAGCAGACTTGGGCCACAAACAGCATCCTGTCACGAAAGCTGAACATCGAGCAGACTTGGGCCACAAACAGCATCCTGTCACGAAAGCTGAGGTATTTTGGCCACGTTAAACATCATGACGGCCAATACAGTCGTCCCCATGTGGGATGCAATTTTGTTCGTTATTTAAAGCCGCACCCTGGCTTTTGCCGGCGGGTCCTGAATATAGCTGGGCCACGATTGTGGCCATAACGGTTGAAAAGGGTTTCTGGGACCTCTCCACGGGTGATCCTCGTCCGCATGGTGGCACTTTGTGTCACTGAGTGTTTATCTCCTGTGTGATGTCTTGGTGGGGTATAACAAGCAAGAAAGCAAGCATGGTGGCCTAGAGAGAGCGGTGATGGAGGGTGCAGAAACCGGGAAACAAAGCAGAGGCAGACCTCCTAGATCGTGTATACAAGATATTAAGGGTGGCTGTTAAAAGCGTATAAGTAAAGTAAAGATCCCTTTTCACGCCTTTCGGCGCATCGGGCATATGGGCAGAGCGTCCCATATTTTTACAGACCATCAGCACTCTGTGGGTAATGTGGTCAGCATTACGCCGGCTGTCTTTAATTTCCCAGGACAGCCCATCCTGGTACCCATTTTAGGCTGGGTCGACCTGCGACGTCCCATACCACGATAAAAATCCACGCAGCCTGCAGTGGGTTTCGATAGCGGTATGCTGGCTTACGAGTCGGACTCGCAACGCCTTAGCCACGGACGCCGTATAGGGCTGCAGAAATGGCTAGGAAAGGGAAAGGCTTTGAAAGTTTTATAACAGACAACATAATCATCGTACCTTTCAGTAGTCCTGTACGGAGCCGTGGTTGACTTCAATGATGTTTGTTCTTTCGCTGTAGTATTTCTTGTTGTCTCACCACCACCCGATGTCGTATTAAGTCTATTTGTAGTCTGGTTCACAGTAAATCTCCGCGACACGAAATACGTTTCTGGACTCTTCGGAGATACTTCGGTAATTTTCGGGCTAGTCTCGTGTTGAAAGAATGAGTGAACATCCTGATCGGTAATGTTTTGTAGAGGTATGTGTAAACCCCCGCTGTTGACGTTATGCCATTTGACTACATTCGTTGTGAGATTTCTAATGATGACATAAGCGAGGAGGATGCCAATTTGTGACAATACAACGATGACAAATATCTTCCTTGCACGCAGAGCCATGTTGTGTAGAGAAATTTTTGTAAGCTTATCTAGTTATGTGTGGAGTTGACGTTGTCAAACATTACTGCACTGCCGTAGCCCGGGCATAATTAGCACGCAGGTAGTTTATTAGACCATTCTTTGTGTTCTGTTAGTACAACAGTTGGCAAGAAAGTATTTGATTAGAACAATCTTTGTATTCTGTCCGTACAATTAGTGGCACACAGGTAGTTGATTAGACCAATCTTTGTATTCTGTCGATACAATTAGTGGTACACAGGTAATTGATTAGACCAATCTTTGTATTATGTTAGTACAACAGTTGGCACGATGGTAGCCGATTATACCAATCCTTTTTTTCTGTCAATAAGTGGCACGAAGATAGTTGATTAGACCAGTGGTTGTATTCTATAAATACAATCATTGACACGAAGGTAACTGACAGGACCAACTCCACTGTAAGTGCTATAGTGTGCACGAAGGTAATTGATTGCACCAATCTTTCACAGCTGCTTGTGCTATATTTGGCACGCAGTTTTTGTTTTTAGACAAATCCTTTTGTCAGTGCTATAGTTGGCAACAAAGTAGCTGACCAGACCAATCTTTGGCTTCTGATAGTGCTATAGTTGGCACACAGTTTTTTTTGATTAGCCAGTCTTTGTCTTCTATCAGTGCTATAGTTGGCACACCGTTTTTTTTATTAGCCAGTCTTTGTCTTCTATCAGTGCTATAGTTGGCACGTAGGAAGATGATTTGACCAATCTTTGTCTTCTGATAGTGCTATAGATGGCACGTATTCAGTTGATTGGACCAATCTTTGTAATCTAATAGTGCTATAATTGGCACTTAGGCAGTTGATTAGACCAGTCGTTGTCTTCCGTTAGGGCTGTAGTTGGCAGGTAGGCAGTTGATTAGACCAGTCTCTGTCTTCTGTTAGTGCAATAGTTGACACGCAGGAAGTTGATTGGACCAATCTTTGTAATCTGATAGAACTATAGTTGGCACGTAGGTACTTGATCAGACCAGCTGTTGTCTTCTGTTAGTGCTATAGTTGACATACATGCAGTTAATTAGACTAACGTTTGCCTGCTGTCAGTGCTATACTTGGCACTAAGGCTGTTGAGTAAACAAATCCTCCTGACAGTTCTACAGTTCGCCGCCAGGTAGTTGA